TGTCATTTGGGGGGGCCTGTTTCCTTATCTGTGAAATGAGAGCATCCGATTACATCAAGAGGCTTTCAAAGCCCCCCCCGGAGACCTTTGGCGTTGCTTTGGAGGGGGGTGTTGGATAGGCAGCCCCTTGGCCGTACCTGCCAGAGAGTCCACCTAGGCAGTGCTCGGTGCTGACATGGGAGACCGTAACACGCACTCTGCTGGAGAGGTGTGGAGACTTCTGAGGGGGTGGGGTGGGGGAGGTCATGGGAGTGAATGAGCATGGGAGACCGGAGACCAGTGTGGTCCAGGAGGACAACTGGCGCTGTGGGCGGTACAGCAGGCCAGGTGATGGCCATTTACTCTCCACCCTGTGGCTTCAGTACCATGACACTCTCCATCTTACAAATGAGGTCACTGAGGTAGAGGATGGTTGAATAAGTAGCCCAAGGTCATCCAGATATTGGTGGCAGCGTGGGCATTCAGGCCTTGATGCTTGAGAGGAGATGTGAGTGGGTGGGCCCTCTAGTCATGAGCCGAAGCTGCAAGGTTTCAAGCAGGCAGCACGGAAGGCAGCGCTGAGGGCACAGTGACTTGTAGGCGGGCTGTAGTCCAGCGGGAGTGGTGGGAAAAGGTGACTGGTTGGGCTAGGGTGAGAGCTAGGACCTGGGTGCGTGGGCAGGCAGGATGGGTGCTGTCTAGCACCTAGAGGAGAGATGCTGACGCTGGTTTCCAGTGGGCTTCATGTCTGACTTCCAACAAAGTTTTCCTGCTTTGAAGGGTTTAAAAACTATCATGGTGATCTGGGTCCCTCCCAGTCTGGTTTTAAAGTATCTTGGAGGCCAGCCTTGGCCCCAGTTTGGTGACTTCAGGACTCCACTCACTCCTGTCCCTACTCTTGCTCCCAGATTGATGAGATGCCAGAGGCCGCCGTGAAGTCCACAGCCAACAAGTACCAAGTCTTTTTTTTCGGGACCCATGAGACGTGAGTGAGGGGCTGGAGGTGGGGAGGGCCAGAGGTGGTGCCGGCACGCCTTCCCCTCGGTGCCGGCACGCCTTCCCCTCGGCACCCCTTCCCCTCGGGTCACGCAGTTCAGGCAGTGAGGGCTCCAGAGCACAGTCTCCCATCTCTCACCAGGGCATTCCTGGGCCCCAAAGACCTCTTCCCTTACGAGGAGTCCAAGGAGAAGTTTGGCAAGCCCAACAAGAGGAAAGGGTTCAGCGAGGGGCTGTGGGAGATCGAGAACAACCCTACCGTCAAGGCCTCGGGCTATCAGGTGAGCAGCCACGACCCCAGAGAGCCCCTGGAGAGCAGGTGTGGCCACTGGCTCCAGAGCAGGCGTGCACCCACTGGGGATGCTGAGCCGGCAGGAGCTCCTGGGGTGGGGGTGGGGGGGCCTGCAGGAAGGGCTGGGAGGGTTGGGGGTGGAGGGGGGCAAGGACAGGAGGACAGAGGCGGTAAGTGGAGACAGCCCTTTCCCCTTTTCTGAGGCCCGGGGTGAGCATAGGACTTGGCCTTAACTCTTTCCACAAAGGCTTCCAGGAGGAGGTGCTCGTGAGCCGGGCAGGATGAGGCGGGAGGGTGGGGGGCGGGGGTCGGCGGGGAAGGGTCCCAGCTCCCTCTGGGAGAAGTTGACCCGAGGTTTTGCCTCCTGCTCCAGCCCTCCCCCCTCCTGCACAGAGCCCTGCCTGCCCGGCCAGTGGGTTTAGCCCGGGGCTAATCCGACAGAGGTGGGTCTCAATCACTCGTGAGACTGGGCACCTGGGTGGGGGCGGGGGCGAGGTGGGAGAAGGAAGGAGTGAGTGGCCGTGGGCGGGTCAGGGAGGGGCCCCACAGGCCACACTGGTGCCACTCAGCCTCCACCGTCTCTGCACGCAGTCCACCCCGAAGAAGAGCTCTGGAGATGAGCCCGAGCCGGAGCCTGAAGCCGCGGAGGGCGATGGTGACAAGAAGGGGAACGCCGAGGGTAGCAGTGACGAGGAAGGGAAACTGGTCATCGATGAGCCAGCCAAGGAGAAGAATGAGAAGGGGGCACTGAAGAGGAGAGCAGGGGAGCTGCTAGAGGTAAGTGACCACTGCCTGGGCCCTGGTTGGGGGTGGGGGGCAGTGGTGGCTCCTGTTGCTGCTGCTGCAGGGATATTCTAATCTGGGGGAGACCACCTCCCAGTGTGGGGTCCCCTGCTGAGAAAATGGGGCACAGACCCTTCAGCTGGTAGAGAGCTGGGGACAAGGACTGTGGGCATGGTCTGGAAGGAACCTCTGGGTGGAGGGGGGACTAGTTGGTGGCTGACGGCCTCCCTCCCCAGCCTCAATGGCCTTGTCTCTGCCAATCCCACCTAGGACTCTCCTAAACGTCCCAAGGAGGCAGAAGACCCCGAAGAGGAGAAGGAAGTAGCCTCCTTGGAGGGTGAGAGGCCCCTCCCCGTGGAAGTGGAGAAGAACAGCACCCCTTCTGAGCCCAGCTCTGGCCGGGGGCCTCCTCAGGAGGAAGAAGAGGAGGAGGAGGAAGAGGAGGAAGAGGCTGCCAAGGAAGATGCTGAGGCCCCAGGCATCAGAGATCATGAGAGGTGAGGGAGCCTCCTGCCCTGAGGCAGCTGGACTGGGGCAGGGGGTTGGGGTGGGGGGTGGGCAGCCACCTGTGGAGAGGTGGCAGCAGAGGAGGAGGAGGGCCGGCAGTGAGGCAGGGTGGGCTCTCCTAGGACACTGGTGCTGGCTGGGGTGTGGCCAGCCCTGGGGCCACACGGATAACCCTTCTCCCCTCCGCCCCTCCCCTGCAGCCTGTAGCCACCAATGTCTCAAGAGGAGCCCCTGCCCCGTTCCTGCTGCTGTCTGGGTGCTACTGGGGAAACTGGCCATGGCCTGCAAACTGGGAACCCCTCCCCCACTCCATCCTGTTCTCCTCTTCCACCTACTCTCCCCACTCCAAGCCCAGCTCCTGGAGATTGACCTGGATGGGGCAGGCCACCTGGTCCTCACCTCCATGTCGCCAGCACCCCTGTGATCTGAGTCAGGGCCATGTCTTCTGCTTCATGGGCGGAGATAAGGCCACTGGTGTCCCTCCCTGCCTGGAGTTATTTTCAGGGTATCCGAAGGGGCCTTGGACTGGCTGTTTTCATCTCCTAACGCCTCCTCCCTGCTCCCCAGCATTCTGGACCTCTGGGTTAGCTGGGATCAGACGTAGGAGTGGAAAGGATGGAGAATTCAATAGTGGGGTGGGTAGGCTTCTGGGCCTGAGAGAGGCCATCTCCAAATTGTAGAGAGGGGGTCTCAGGCAGGAGGACGTGTCTTCCTGCACTTCTGTCCCTTCCTCCCTTGCCTGTTATCCCAGCTGCCTAGATTCAGGGAAAGTGGGACAGCTTGTGGGGGAGGGCTCCCTCTGTACATCCTTGATGATGATTGACAGCACCCTTTTTTCCTTTTGCTGACCCCAAGCGTTCTGGGAGCTGTAATTGGTCATCAGAAGATCCAGGGCTCTGCAGGTGTTGGGGTGGAGGACCTGGGATGGGAGGGTTGACTTCCCCCAGCGAGGCTGGGAGTGCTGAGGAGTAACCGTCCCCTCTGATCTCTGGCCAGAGATTGGATGCCCTGTGCCCCCTCCCCACCTGCTCAAGGCCAGCCTGCACTCACACGTCACCCAGACATAAAGGAAAAGACACATTTTTTAGGAAATGTTTTTAATAAAAGAAAATTACAAAAAAAAATTTTAAAGAACCCCATCCCTTTGTGTCCCCCCCCCCCCTCATTCCCCACTGCTGCCTCCATTTCTGAGGTGCCCTAGGAGGCTTCCCTCCATTTGGGGTCTGAGGACTTTTCTTTTTGTAGCTGGGGCTTTGGTGTTCCTTGTGTCATTTCCCACTCACCTCCCCACCTGGTCTCCTGGGTGTTGTCACCAGACCTGAACCCGCGAGAGGACAGGGAACCAAGTGCCCTTCCCGCCGGCCTCTCGTGGCCTCTCTGCCTCCCTGTCTCCTGTCTCCTCTCTCCCTTGGGCTCTGATGAAAAATTGCTGACTGTAGGTTTGGGAGTTTAGTTCTTAGAACCGTAGATGATTTCAGTTCTAGGAAAAATAAAACCCGTTGATTACTAGATGGAATCTTGACTGCTTCTTGGGGGGGGGGGTGTCTGGGGGGTGTGAGGGGGCAGGAGGTGCGGGGGTCTCCAGTCCCTTGTCGGCCTGAGGTGGGCCAGCGGGCAAAATGCATGAAGTGTCTCCTTGTACTCATGCCAGCCGCTGGGGAGCAGTGCGTACCCCCCAGTCACCTGGGGGCTTGCCCCCAGCAGTGGGGGTGAGCGGTGCCAGAGCCTGACCCCCACCCCCGACCCCAGGACACAATGGGACGGGAGGTGCAGGGGCTGGTTTGGGGGAGCCATGCTGCTGCCTCGAGTCAGAGCTACGGATGCCTGCCACCAGTAAGTGGCAGGAAGGGCCGGGGAGCTGGCGACACCACGAAGTGCGCGGAGGGGCGGGAGCTGGTCAGCATCTTACACGCCTCCCAGAGCTGACATTTTGTGACAAGCTTATGGACTGGCCTTTGAAGGGCCTACGTTTCATCCCTTCCTGCAGAAGCCCTAAGGCAGTTTCTTAACCTGTCCTGCCCCCTGCAGCAGACTGGGGGGCGCGGGGAGAGGACCGTCCGCAGCCCAGCCTGGAAAGGGAGGCCCTGTGTTTCCAATAGCAAGCCACAATCCTCTAGAAAATGGAGACTTCCTCTCTGGAAACTACAATTTCCAGCGGCCCTCGGCAGAGCGCGTGCGGGGACTTGCCCGGCGCCGCAGCCTAGCCTTCCCGGCCTTCAACTCCCGACGTGCCTCTCGGTGTTCTTACGCTGCCTGATTTCCTACCCGACCAAATTTCCTGTTTCCAGCTCGCCTCATAGTGACGGACGGACTACAACTCCCAGCTTGCAGAGCGAGGTTGATTTGCGCGTCAGCTCCGCATTTGGACTCCCATTTCCCAGAAAGCCGAGGGACAGGGGCGGCAGGCTCAGGGCGCATGTGCGGGCGGCGCGGCGGCGCGGCGGGAAGCGGAGGTGAGCGTCCGGCGCCCGCGGTCCTGACCTCGTCGGGCTCGCCCGGGCACTGGGGGCGGGGAAGATCTTGGTTTGCCCGGGCCGTGGCTCGGTCAGCTGCTTGGAGCCGGTGGGTGCTGAGGACTGCTGGGGCCGGGGGCGGGCGGGACGGGCTTCCCGAGGACAGCCCCTCCGAGGTGTGTGGGCGCGGAGGGCCGGATCCTGGGGGCCCCCCCGCCCCCCGGGGCTGCACCGCGCGCGGCCGAGCAGCGACCCCGCGGGCGTCCTGGCCGGGACGCTGGTGACTAGCTCCCGGGGCTCCGTCGTCCACGGGCTGGCCTGGTGCTCGCACCTGCCGCTTACCCCCAGCGTCGGGGTCGGCCGATCTGCGCTCTGAAGCGGGTACCCGGTGCGCTTGGGAACCCCGAGGCCGCCGTTGGTTGGCAGGACGTTGGCAACTTTTTTTCCACGTGAAGAAATAGAAAAATGGGGATCCCTGGGTGGCGCAGCGGTTTGGCGCCTGCCTTTGGCCCAGGGCGCGATCCTGGAGACCCGAGATCGAATCCCACATCGGGCTCCCGGTGCATGGAGCCTGCTTCTCCCTCTGCCTGTGTTCCTGCCTCTCTCTCTCTCTGTGACTATCATAAATCAATAAAAATAAATAAAAAAAATAGAAAAATGATCCGACGGTTCAGATAAACCACTTGGTTTCTTTTCTTTTTATCCCAGTGTGCATAGTTGGAACCTGTAAACAAATGTCGTGAAAGGAACCGCGCCCCCAAACAGTTCCTTTGCCTGGAACAAGTCCTGGGGCTCTTTCCTTTGCGTAAATGTTTAAAGCCTGTGCCAGGATATGTATGTTTTTTTTTTTTAATTTGCCTAAACGGCACAATACTATTCGCATTATTCTGTACTTTGTTAAAATATTAGAAGTAGTTTGAAGGACACCAACAACCCCGTAAAGTTTCAAGGATGACAAAACTAGCCCAGGCGTTAAGTTGCCCTGGGTCCCAGAGGAAGATGCTGAGCAGGTGGGCATCCAGGTCTCCGTGGCTCCGTGCGCTCCTTGTGCCACAGGAGTGCACTTTATTTGCACTTTTAAGTGAGACTCTGTGCTTAGCTGTAAAATAACATTAACGATCCCTGCTCCATTCCCCCCCTCCTTTTTCCTTTTTTCTTTTTTAAGATTTTATTCATTCATGAGAGACACAGAGAGAGGCAGAGACACAGGCAGAGAAGCAGGCTCCATGCAGGGAGCTCGACGTGGGACTGGATCCCGAGTCTCCAGGATCACGCACCGGGCCGAAGGCAGTGCTAAACCGCTGGGCCACCGGGGCTGCCCCATTTTTTCCCTTTTTAAAAAAAGATTTATGTATTTCTTAGAGTGCCTGGGGGAGGGGGCGGGCAGGAATCTCTCTCCGCTGAACTTGAAGTCCAAAGCAGGGCTGATCTCACAACCCTGAGATCAGGACCTGAATGGAAATCCAGATTCAGCGGCACCTGGGTGGCTCAGCGGTTGAGCGTCTGCCTTTGGTTCAGGGCAGGTCTCAGTTCAGGGCTGGAACTAGATGGCATGGTATGGTCTCTGGCCTCAGGGAACTTTTTGGACCTTGAAGTCAGATATGTGTGGGTTTGAACGTCAGTTCTCATATAGTAGCTTTATGATCACAGACAAGTCACTTAACTTCTGTTAAGTCTTTCCTTGCATCTTTGCCCACATGTCTCTATCCGTCTATTCTGGGGGTTTGTTTTTTAATCTTATTTGTTTTTTTTTTTTTTTTTTTTTTTTTTTTTTTCAGCAGGCTCCACACTCAATGTGTGGGGCTTGAACTCAGGACCCTGAGATTAAGACTCACATGCTCTCCCGACTGAGCTGGCCAGGTGCCCCTCTGTCTGTCTTCTTGAAAGCTGACTAGGAAGGTTTCTGGATTTTCCCTGGCCAGAGGATTCCTCACGGCCTCCAGCCATGCGTCTCTCTGCCCTGCTGGCCTTCGCATCCAAGGTCACTCTGCCCCGAGACTACCGCTATGGGATGAGCCGCCCAGGTTCTCTCGCAGACAGGAGGAAGAATCCTCCAGGGACCAGGCGGCGCCGGGTGGCTGTGGAACCCATCTCTGATGAAGACTGGCATCTGTTCTGTGGGGACACAGTGAGAGCCTTGGATGGGGCAGAGTGGTGGGGGTCTCCCGGGGCAGAGGTCCCCTCCTCGACCCACATGTCTTCCCGCAGGTGGAGATCCTAGAAGGCAAAGATGCTGGGAAGCAAGGCAAAGTGGTGCAAGTCATCCGGCAGCGCAACTGGGTGGTCCTGGAGGGCCTGAATACAGTGAGTGGAGAGAGGATGGGGTGCTCAGGAAGCCCGTCCCATGTCACTCTGCGTGAAGAGCAGCCAGGGAAGGAGGGAAGGGAGACTAGCTGCAAGGGTGGTGGACAGCCGACCGTGCTGCTGTTCACTGGGGCCGAGTGCTAGCTGTGGGAGGCAGGCCCTGTCACAGTCCTTGGTTTTCACGTCCCCTCTCTTTCGGACAGCATTACCGCTATGTTGGCAAGACCGCCGAGTCCCGGGGAACCATGATCCCTAGTGAAGCTCCCTTGCTTCACCACCAGGTCAAATTGGTGGATCCCGTGGACAGGTAAACACAGGGGCTCTGGCCAGAGGGCTCCCCTCTGCGAGTCTGCGTAGGTGTTGGTCATGCATACCAATGCATTCCAAAAGGAATGGTGGGTCGGATGTTTTGAAGTTGAGAGGGGCCATCTGTCTCATGGATGTGACCCCTACAGGTCACCCGGGTTAGAGATGGAACAGCAACAAGATGGTGACCTTCATGTTTTCAGCCATTGACTTTTTGGGGTGAAATGCAGCAGGAAGACCGGGTTCTCAGGCTGGATTTCTCTTTTACATCCACCAGGAAGCCCACTGAGGTGGAATGGAGGTTCACGGAGGCAGGTGAGCGGGTACGCGTCTCCTCAAGATCGGGAAGAATTATCCCCAAACCTGATTTTCCCAGAGCTGATGGCATTGTCCCTGAAACGTGGACTGGTAAGGCTGGGGGAGGGGCAGGAAGGTGGGCTGGGGGGAGGAGAGGGAGGGAGGTGAAGAAGCCCTCCCGCCCATCTTCTTTCCTCTGGCTCGACAGATGGCCCCAAAGACACATCAGTGGAAGATGCTCTCGAAAGAACCTATGTGCCCCGTTTAAAGACACTGGAGGAAGAGGTGATGGAGGCCATGGGGATCCAGGAGACGCGAAGACACAAGAAAGTCTACTGGTATTGAGCCTGGGAGAGCACTCCTCCCTCTTCTTCTAGCCCTGAAGGACAGGCCACTCCTGCTGCAGACACCAGCAAAGAGCCAGGAGTCGTCCCCTGGGTGCAGCCTCCCCATCCTCTGGTAGCCTGGCACCCCTAACCACAGTGCACTGGCTTCTGGGACTGACGCAAGAGATGTTGGTCTTCACACAGTGATAGAGCCTGGATGGAAATTAGCCAGCTTCCAGGGGGGCCAGGCCTGCAGGTTGTGGGAGAGAGACTGTCCGTGTCTATGTCTATAGGTGTGGGTGGTCCAGCTGTGGCAACTCTACGACTCAGTAGGGGTTGGTGCACGTCTGTGTTTTCTTACACTGACTAGAAATGGCAGGGAAATAAATATTTCACTTGTTTAATAAATTAAAAATAAATTTTTACATAGCATGATGTTATCACACAGAGAAACCAGAATTCCAGGAACGTAGAATGCTGGTTCTTTGGGCAAGTGTGGTGGCTGGGTGGTTTCAGAGAGGGTTTGTCAGCTGTCTTCCATCTCCAGAAGAGAGAAGGCTTCACCCAGAGGCCTCTTGGTAGCCACCAGAACCAGGTTTCTGGGTGAGAGTGCAGGACTGAAGATCGGCAGGAGCTCAGCATAGAAGCCTAGGAGAAAGGCAGGGCCGCTCTCAAACTCCACTCAGATGCTCCTTGCCTAGCCTATGCATAGCCCTTCTCCTTGCCTCCCAGGGGAGGCCTCAGGCTATCTAGGGAGACCTAGTTCTCTACCAGGAATGTGGGGGTTCTGGCTTAACATGTAGCTCATGGATGTGGGCCTGATGAATGGGAATGTGCACTGACCAGCCCTCTTGGCCACCACCCCCGACCAGGGAGGAACCCAGGCTACCCAGCAGGTGTGGGAGTTGGTAGCCACCCTTACCCTGCTCCTGAACATAGAGCAGCCGGTCCAGCAGAATCAGCGTCTCTACCAGTGGGGCCAGAAGCAAGGCCAGGCTGAAGAAGGCCACCACTCGGTTCTCCTGGGCCTGGTGGGCCTGAAGGGCAGCCAGATTCAGTGGCAGCTGAGGATCCAGCCCCACCCGCCGGAGTCCCCGCCGCACGTATCTGTGGGGTCAGCCACAGACAGCAATCAGTTTGCTTTTAGGAACCTCCGCCTCCCACTCAAAACTGCTTCCCTAACCCAGCTGGAACTTTGCTCCGTGTGCTACCTACTGCGCATCTTCAGATGTTTCCCTGGCTGTGAGCTGTCTGTCCGATAGCAAATTAATCGCAAAATTTACTTTCAGCTAGATCTGTCCGACTATTCAGCCATTTTTTAGCAATTAAGAAATCTGATAGAGTTGTCTGATAAAAAACTGCCTTCCTAAAGAAATGTTGAGGAGCTGCCCCTGAGACTTCAAAAATCAACCCCCTAGGCACATCTAGAATGTCCTTCAGGATAAACTGACAAGTGAAGGTGGGAGGGGCATCAGACCTGCAGTTGGTGATGTCCCCTCGTCATCCCCGCCCCCAGCCTCACTCTTCAATCTTCAGCTCGTGGATCCTGGGGATCCCCTGCACGCCTGGCCGACGCAGCTCGGGCTGGGCACCCCGGATGACGGTCTCCAGTGCTGCCCGGTAGCAGTGGGTTCGGAGGCCAGGGCCTGATTTCTGCAGCCGCTCTGCATATTCCTCCAGGGCATGGCAGGCTCCTTCCCGCAGCCTGTAAGGCAGCTCATGGCCAGGCAGCCCAGCCACCCATTGACTCAGTGGGTAGCCACCAGGGTCACTCAACTTCATGTAGCAGCAGCCCACCGAAGCCAGGGCCACCACTTGAGGACAGGAGAAGTGCCTCAGCAAGGTAACGCTCAGATCCCCGCAGGCATGCAGGCCTGTCAGCAGCAAACGGGCCCTGCTCTGAGGTGAGGTGTCCAGGGGAAGCAGAAGCTCTTCACACAGAGCCATAGGCTCTACCCACCTAACCACGTGGTGTGGGGAGTATCGAGGGCTGGCTTGGACCACCTGTGAGGCAGGAAAGAACACAGGCAGGTGGGAAGTCCATCTGCTGTCCCTGGGCCATGTCAGGTCATAGGAAGGGACATGTCCCCTGCATTCCTTCCCCAGGAGAGAAGCTGGAGAATGGGAGAGCTGGGCCTTGAATCAGGGGACAGGCTGAACTCTGGGCTTATCACAAACCCCAAACCTCTCTGTGTTCTGGCTCCCTCCTCTGTCAGAAGCCTGGTACCTTACCAGCCACCTCGCACGTGGCTGGAAGTACACACCAGTGTGCAAAGTACTTGGTAACTAGAAAGTGCCTTTAAGATGTGAGGAGGCGGGGAAACCTGGTGGCTCAGCAGTTTAGCACTGCCTTCAGCCCAGGGCCTGATCCTGGAGACCTGGGATCGAGTCCCAACATCAGGCTCCATGCAGGGAGCCTGTGCCTGTGTCCCTCTGACTGTGTCTCTGCCTCTCTCTCTCTCTGTGTTTCTCATGAATAAATAAATAAAATCTTAAAAAAAAAAAAAAAAAAAAAAAGATGTGAGAAGGCTCTGGTGAAAGAGAGCCCATGGGCAAGGGGCAGCAGAGTTAGGTTAGAGACCACCACCTCAACCTCAGAAACTGAAGAGTGAGTCCAGCCTTGGTGCCCGATTCCAGCCAACCAGACCCTCCCCTACAGCCCCGGCTGCAGAAGCTGGCCTACCTGTGGGTGCCTCTTCTCTTCCTTCTCCAGAGCCTGCAGGAGCTCCTGGTCCAGGCGCTGGGCTCTCTGCACCAGCCTCTGGTCCCCCTCAATGCTCTTCACCAGCAGCCCCAGCCCCAGGGACATGAACCGGGAGAGATGGCCCTGCAGTCACAAGAGGGAGGGTGAAGACAGCCCCACTCAGTGTTCCCTCCACTGGCAGCCTCCCTAGCCTCCCTGAACACTTGAGGCTCTGGGCCCCAAAAGGCTCATCTACCCTGACTTCCACGACTCCTCAGCATCTGCCTCCAGCTTTCTATCCCCACAACTCAAACTATCAGGGGTCTGACTCACCTGGCCTGAACCTATATCCACAACCTGGGTGCAGCCCGTGAGGTCACTCAGCTTCTTCACCAGCTACAAGAGGAGGGAACAAAGCTCTCCTGGCCACTGGCTGCTGGCTCCCAGAGCAAACACCCATAATGAGGGTGGAGGAGCTGCAGAGGGTAGAGGAAGATGGACAGAGGGCCACAGAAGAGACGGTAGATATGGAAACCAAGAGGAAGGGTGCTGCCCCCAGGCTCAGGTGGTTTACTACTCAGCACCGAGAAGAGCTACGTGTTGAAGCCCTGAGCACGCTCTGGAGGGGCAAGACAAGAAGATACAGCCACCAACCAACCCATCAAATGACGGACATATAAAACACAGCATCGAGGGGGTGGCCCCTCAGTGCCAGTCGTCTCACCTCCCCCAGCCTCCGGATCTCATGCTGCTTCTTAGGCCTGACGTGTTTCCGGAAGGGAGCTGTCAGCCGGGAGCTCTGGCTGGGGTTCTCCAGGAACTCCGAAGGAGTCTGAAACCCAGGTGTCCGGGTAAAGGCCAGGGCACAGGCTGTAGACTTCAGGGCCAGCAGGGAAAGTGGCCACACCGACCTGTACCTGAGATAGGCCAGCCCCAGTGAATAGCTCTATTACATCCTAACTGTGCCAGTTTACAATTCAGGAAGCTCCAGGGGGACTCTGAGTCTGAGTCCCCCAGCACGGGGCCCCTCTTGCCCATACCTGACCACTTCCCCTTCCCCAGGCATCCCCAGCAGCTGCGTGGCCAGCTGTGGTGGGTTCAGTCCATCCAGCGCTTCCTGCCATGAGCAAGGGAGTGTGCCCCACAAGTTGTCTGTAAAGAATTCCTGCAGGAGAAGGGGAGAAGCAGTCAATTCCTTTTAAAAAAAAAGATTTACTTACTTACTTACTTACTTACTTACTTACTTACTTACTTATTTATTTATTTATTTATTTATTTATTTATTTATTTATTTATTTATTCATGATAGACATAGAGAGAGGCAGAGACACAGGCAGAGGGAGAAGCAGGCTCCATGCCGGGAGCCCGATGCGGGACTCGATCCCGGGACTCCAGGATGGCATCCTGGGCCAAAGGCAGGTAGAGAAGCAGTCAATTAGCCACTGCTCTCCCCACTCCTCCCTGCCCCTCTGGACACAGGGCCTGGCTGGCTGCAGTCAGCAGGTGCCTCCTGCCCAACCCAGTCACCTCTCTCTGAAGCCTGTTCTGCCTCCCCCTCCCTCCTCGGGGACCAAAGGACTCTGTGGACATACCTCTCCTTGCAGCACCTTCCCTGCTATGTGTGTTTTCTCCATTCAACTGAACCTAAGGGCAGGGACAGTGTCCCATCTGGATCCCCAACACCGCAGTGACAGACCTGTGGTGTTAGCACATCGCCATTTAACAATCTACCAGTATATGCACTGAACACTTTATATGTCAGATATTGGATATAATAATGCATTTTTATTCATTCATTCATTCAACACCAATTCTGGAGCTTTGGTTACACAGCAAGCTCTAGTTTGGGCTCAGATGATACAACAACTGATACAACAAGGAACCAGAGAGAATTCTTGCTCTCACAAAGTTTACATTAAAACAAACTTCAGGCAACATTGAATGCTACATAGACAATAAGACACTAACGAAACAGTAACACATGAAGTTTGAGAGAGCACTACTTTGGAGAGGAAGGAGGGAAGACCTGTCTGAGCAGCTGGCACCTGAGCTGAGATGTGATGATGAGCACACACCAGCAGGTTAAGAAAGGTCAGTCAGTGGCTGCCAGACGTGGGGCAGCTAGGGAAATGCAGCTGGGCCGGGGAGAAGTCAAAAAGTACAAACTGCCATTTATAAAATAAACACATCACACAGATGTAATGTGCAGCAAGATGACTATAGCTAATAACACTGTACTGCATATCTGAAAGTTCCTGAAGAGTAGATTTTAAAAGTTCTTATCCCAGAGCAAACCTAACTTTAGAGGTGACCAATGTCAACTATACTCACTGTGGCAATTATTTTGCAATATACACAAATATCAGATCGTTACATTGTATACCTAATTTCAGCCATAGGGAGCCGGGTTTAGCGCGGCCTTCAGCCCAGGGCGTGATCCCGGAGCTCCGCGCTAAACCGCTGAGCCACTGGGGCTGCCCAATAAATAAAATCTTAAAAAAAAAATTAAAAAGTTCAGCTAAATAGCAAATACTTAGAAAATATTTTAATATGCTATGCACTGTCCAAAACATTTTCCATGTGTCAATGCATTTAATCCTCAAACAACCCTATTAGATAAGTACTATCTTCTCTCCCATTTTACAAATAAGGAGACTGACACACAGCAACTAACTCTTTCAACTCAAAAAGCTAGTAAGCAGCAAAGCTGGGATCTGAAACCAACTGGACTCTAGTTCTTGCTCCTAACCACTCTGCTCTACTGCCTTCCTGTGGAAGAAAACCCTCCAGGCACACAAGTAACTGCAAAGGCCCAGGTACCCGCCATGTTTGTAGCACAAAAATCAGGCCAGTGTAGGAGCAGCAGAATGAACATGGGAGAAGCTCGTGTCAGACTTCACGAGGCAGCAGGGGGGACGCCTGCCTGGCTCAGTGGTTGAGCATCTGCCTTCAGCTTAGGTCATGATCCTGGGGTCCTGGGATGGAGTCCCTCCATGTCTCTTATAAATAAATACATAAAATCTTAAGAAAAAAAAAGGCAGCAGGGGATGGGGATGGGTCATGCAGCGCCTTCTAGGTAACGGTAAGGAATTAAGATTTGATCAAAGCACCTAGAAAGCAAGGCACTATCTTGATCAGATTTACTTTTTTTTAAGTAGACTTTACACCCAACATGAGACTCAAACTTTACTACTCTGCCACTGACCGACCCAGCCAGGCGCCTGTGATCAGATTTACATTTTTATTTATTCATTTATTTTTAATTTAAATTCAGTTTGCCAACATATAATACAGCACCCAGTGCTTATCCCACCACAGTGCCCTCAGTGCCCCTCACCCAGTTACCCCATTCCCCCCCCACCTCCCCTTCTGCAACCCTTGGTTAGTTTCTCAGAGTCAGGAGTCTCTCATGGTTTGTCTTCCTAATTTCTCCCCACTCAGTTCCCCCGCTTCCCTTATAGTCCCTTTCACTATTTCTTATGTTCCACATGAGTGAGACTATATGATAACTATTTTTCTCCGACTAACTTATATCACTCCAGATTTACATTTGAAAGAGCTCAATCAGGCTGCTTTGTGAAGAAATGTCATGGAGAAGAAGTGGACACAGAGGTTAGTTAGGAAATGGTCCAGGAGCAGAGGATGGTGGCTTAGTCCCTGGTGGCATCAATGGGGATGGAAACACAGGGGTGAGTCTGGTTATCTATTCTGGAGACAGAGCCCCGGGAAGGGCCGGCGCGTACATCAATGAAGGAGAGAGCTGGACCAAGGATGCTTCTGGGTCTGGGGGCTGACAGTCAGTGGACGCTGGTGCCACTCATACATCAGCGCATTTACTCTTGAGGGGAGCCCTCCGACGGGGATTACCATGGCAGCTGAGAAACCCGGGCTAGGCGGAGTTTCTTCAGACGCCTAAGGCTGGCCCAGTAAAGGAGGCAGCTGGTCTGTCGGCCTCCGGAGCTCTCACTGTCCCTTACAAAGCTGAGCCAAGGATTGACTCAAAGCTCGGGTGAAGAAGCACCTCGCACGTTCCCGGCAGGGCTCTGTGGTCCACACTTTGACCGTGGACTTGGGACGGTAAGAAAAACTACCTGTGTACTAGGAATGTTAACAGGTACGGGGCGGGGGGAGACGGCTCTAACCCTCTCTCGCACAGACACTAGGCTGAGACGCAGGGAAGAGAGGTCGGAAGCCTGCGCCCCAGATTCTCCGCCCGCCGGGCGCACCCGCCCACACCCCCGGGGCCTCACGATGATGTAGGCGTCCACGATGGAGCGGTAGCGCGCCAGCACGCGGGTGAGGTTCACAGCCAGCTGCCTCCTCTGCTCCAGAGAGAGGCCGCGCGCCGAGACGCCGGGCATCCCGGGGGCAGGCGGCGGCGTCGGGAGCGGGGCGCGCTGAGCGGAGAGAGCGCCGGAGCCAGTCCCCACGCGGGGACCCCTTCCCCCGCCGTCGGCAGGCGCGGAAGACGGGACGCGCCCCTGACGTCACAGGTCGCGACGCGGCGCGGAGGGGGCGCCCCCGGGGGGCGGAGCACCGCGCAGCACGTCACAGAAGCGAGACGCGGCGTCCCGGCTCGCCCTTCCCCGCGCATTTCCCTCCTTCTCCGGAAGTGAGGCTGGCCCCGCGTGCGGCGTTTCCCGCGGGGCGCGGCCGTCCCACCTTCGAGTTGTACCTCCACGGGGCTAGAGGGGCCGGGGAGCGCATCCCGCCCCCGCCGCCCCCCACGCCGCCACCGCAGCCGCCTCCCCTGCCGCTGCTCACGCACTCAGACTCCCTGGCCTCGCTCCCGGAGGCGGGGGCGCTGCGGGCGCGCGCACGCCGGCCCCCGACGCGGTCCAACCCGCGCGCCTGCCGGCCCGGGCCTCGCCGCCGCGCGCCCACTTCCGCATCCGGCGCCGGGCGCTTCCGCTCGTAGCGGCGTCTGCCGGGAGGTAGGTGTGAGCGTCGGGGGCGCTCTCCTGGGCGGGGACCCCTCGGCCTGGGTTCCCTGGGCGGCTACATGTGGTCAGGGGGCCTGTCTCGGGAGCAGGGCTGGGGCGCGGCACCGGCGGAGGGTGACCGGCGGCCCCGGGGGCCGGCCCCGATTGCCGGCAAGCGCGCTCAGCCGCTCTCCCCGGGCGGGCGATGCAGCCCCCGCTCCGGCTTTCCAGCTCGGCTTCCGAATGGGACTGAGCTCTGGAGAGTGCCAGTGACCCTTCCTAGGCCCTACAGCTGGTGCATTATGGGGCCGCGCCACAACCGAGGCCCTCCTGGCTCACACGGTGCCCCTGACATCCCTCCACGTTACAGATTCGTTCCCACTCTGGGCAGTCGCTCGGATGCCTTTCCAACCTGCAGCCCACGCAGACGGGTCTTGTTTCCCAGGCCTGAAGGCTCTGTGATCAGGCTCCCTTTCTTTCCCAGGGTGTGCTACAGACCTCCAGATGTGGGCCCGTGGGATTCAGCAGAGGATGAGTCCTCTGTCGTGCTGTCATCAGTAAGCCACTCTTCCCAACTGCTTTCCCGCCATCCACTGTCCTTATGTCTACCCTGCTTCTCAATCTGGATTTTGGGGAACCTCCCCCTAAAAAAGCTTTAGAGGGGAATGCCAAGCACCGAAAATTCGTCAAGAAGCGGCGGCTCTTGGAACGGAGGGGCTTTCTGAATAAGAAGAACCAGCCCCCGAGCAAGACACCTAAGCTACATTCAGAACCTACGAAGAAAGGGGAGACTCCTAAGGTGGATGGCACTTGGAAGGTTTCTCCCCTTCCAAAAAAGAAGGCAGTTGCCTCCAGCAGTGGACCAGAGCAGTCCCTGGACAAGAAGACTGCAGTGCCGTGGCTGACACCTGCCCCTCCACAGAAGGCTGGCTCTGCTTTGGCTAAAGTAGATTTGCTGGGGGAGTTCCAGAGTGCCCTTCCAAAGATTAGGAGCCACCCAACTCGCCCCCACAAGAAGGGCCCACAGAAGAATCCTACTCAGAAGAATGCCCCACAGAATTCCATCCAGTCTCATTCAGACAATAAGTGCTCTGGAACAATCCAGAAAACACCGAAGAAGATGGTGGCCATTGACTGTGAAATGGTGGGCACGGGACCCAAGGGGCATGTCAGTTCCCTGGCTCGATGTAGCATTGTCAACTACCATGGAGATGTGCTCTATGACGAGTACATCCTTCCGCCCTGCCACATCGTGGACTACCGGACCAGGTGGAGTGGCATCCGGAAGCAGCACATGGTGAATGCTACACCCTTCAAGGTTGCACGGGGCCAGGTGAGAGGCATGGGGTACGACAGGAGCAGCAAGGTGGCTGCGCTGAGGTGCAGATCCCTTTTCAGCAGAGGATATCGCCCTAGAAGGCGCCAAAGAAGTTTGGAGGAGGGAAGTGGGAGTGGACTGCCAGATGAAGGGGGCAGGCATGGTGAAAGCCCAGAAAGTTACACAGTTAACAGCTGTGCTGAAGCGAGTTAGCAGAGACCGACCTGAACTCCCCAAAGGAGTTCCCCTGGGAAACTAGGAACCTAGAGGACTAGCAGCACCACAGGGCAGAGTAGCAGGTGTGAATGGCGAGGGAATGGGCTCAATTTGGGAGTGCCTTGTAGAGATATAGTTTGGGGTTGAGAACAAAGAGGTGGAGAGGGTTCCCAAGCAAGTGTGGGAAGTGTTGGTGGCAGGAGCTAGGTGGTTTGTATTCTTGGGACAGGTAGCCTGAAGCGGAGGGGTTGCGTGTCGGGCTCTCACCTCAGTCATGAGCAAACTTCTTTGTGGTAGCCCCATGCTGGACCCTGGGAGCATCACAGAAGGACAGGAAAAGGAAGGCGAACCTGGGAGGCACAGGGAGGAGGTGGAGGGGAAGCCAGCTGGTCTTCTGAGGCCTCCAGAGGGCGCCCATGGTCCGTATTTTTGTCTTTTCAACTTCACATTCTTAGTCTTCTTGGGACATGCTTTGTTCCACTAATTCTTTTCACTCCCTGGTAGTTGGAGGTGCTTCATCAGAGGCAAAGGTGCTGAGTTTTAGCAGGTACTTGAGAGGTGTGCCACAGGCCACCAGTGAGCAGGGCTGGGAGAGGCAGAAGGTGGGATGGGTCTGAGATCTAGAATCTGCGCAGCTTGAATGAGGGCTGGATGTGAATTAATGTGCAGTAGAGGTGTTGGTGGACAGTAAACTGAAGGTGCTGTTAGGAGCAAGCAGGAACCTCATCAATTGGGCTCCCATTGAGTTTTCGTCATAAATGGATTCCCCAGTGCCCATGCCAGGGTGTGAGATGGGTACGTTGAGATGGTCTGGCCCCTTCCAGGGGGTTCCTGCTGGCTCTGCACGGATTGTAGGACTGTGGCTTTTGTTCACAACCTGTTTGGAGCCCTCTTGGGGAATAGCCTTGAGAGCTTGTGCCTTATTCTTGGTTGTCTTTTTGGTTGCATGCCCTCATGCTTTGAGATCCTGAAATGGTGAGGTGACCTGGTCCTGAGACTAGTGTGAATGAGGTTCCTGAGCAGCTGGTGAGTGAGTGGGAGGAGCTGTAGAGCTGATTTTCTGGGTTGCTTGACTGATTGCCTCTGCAGCCTGAGTCTACAGGTGATTCTTAAGCTTTTATAACTTATAGGTCCTTCCAGAGTCTGATGAAAATCAGAGACACTCCTTCCCAAGCACCATATATGTAACTATTGGCATATGATTTGAGGTTTCTTTTATCTCCCTGAAGCCCATCTTTGACTCCATTGGTTCAACCCTTATGTCTAAGACCAGAATATGGTAATGGTTAGAGAACTTCACATAGCAAGCCAGAACTGAACTGGTTAGCAAACATCTGACACATGAGTGTGATTTGGGACTGGGGCAAATTAATGAGAAGATAAGGAGCCATTGGTGATAGGAGTCCAAACCAGGTTACACCACAGTAACAGCTGCTCATCACCTGGAGGTGAATCTCAGATGGAAGAAACGTTGTGGGAGAGGTCGAGGTAGGTGAGCACATGGTGCAAAGAGCTTGACAGGATCTATGACCACATTGGACTTTCAAGATAGAGGGGCTCTTCTACCTTTGCTGCCTCCTCACCACTGCCTTTTCCGCTCCTATTTCAGATCTTGAAGATACTCACAGGGAAGATAGTGGTGGGCCACGCCATCCACAACGACTTCAAAGCCCTTCAGTACTTCCACCCCAAGTCCCTCACCCGTGACACCTCCCACATTCCCCCCCTCAACCGGAAGGCTGACTGCCCAGAGAATGCCACTATGTCTCTGAAGAGTCTCACCAAGAAGCTTCTAAACCGGGACATCCAGGTAGTGTCTCCCCAGATGCTGTCAGGCCCCCGGCTTGGATGCTGGGGGGCCCTTCTTGCTGCAGGCACTGGCCCCGAAATTGCTCTGGAGGTAGATGAAGGTGGGCTGCTCTGATGGGAAGAGCTTTAGCAAAAGGGCCCAGTGTGTAGGGTAACAGTTCCTGCTTTCTACCTCACAGAATGTCCCAGAGTGTGCTTGGAAGGGGGGAAGTCTTCAAGTGCTGGCAAAACCCTAACTGAGAAAAGAAAGCTTCTTTAAAAAAAAAAAAAAAAAAAAAAAAGATTTTATTTATTTATTTATTTATTTATTTGTTTATTTGTTTATTTATTTATGAGAGACAGAGAGAAAGGCAGAGACACAGGAAGAGGGAGAAGCAGGCTTCATGCAGGGAGCCTGATGTGGGTCTCGATCCCTGGACTCCAGGATCACACCCTGAGCCAAAGGCAGATGCTCAACCCCTGAGCCACCCAGGCATCCCGCACATAGTGCTTCTGAAAGTCCGCAAAGTGGATGCCAGGATCTCTTGTGTGGGCGACAGGTTTGCTCTCAGAGAAAGGTGTCCTGCCTGGCAGGAGGGTGGGCACACGTTTGTAGAGAGTGGTTGAGGTTGTGGGGAAGGTGCGAGACTCACAATGCCTGTCTGTGATCTGGTTGTTGTGTTTGCAGGGTGCAGAACAGCGTGGTGTGTATGGTCCACAGAAAGGTCTGAGGCAGACAGTGCATAGGAGTTGAACCCTCAGAGGTCTCCGGCAGTGGCCCACTAACTCTGCAGCAGCAGCAGCATTTGGGGGGGCTGGGGAGAGCCAGTTGGGAAGGAAAGAAATAGTCTCTTGTGGCTTCATGCTACTCTCTTCTGTATTCAGGTTGGGAAAAGTGGACATTCCTCCGTGGAAGATGCTCAGGCCACCATGGAGCTGTACAAGTTGGTTGAAGTCGAGTGGGAACAGCACCTGGCCCAGAATCCCCCAAAGGACTAATAGCAGTGGGGGCGCTGTGATGTGGGGATACAGAGGCGGCACCACACCCAGGAGAAACCGGGCCATGGACCAGTGGACAGCTCTACCAGCTCCACCTCTTCACAAGCTCAAGCTGTGAGGGAGAGAGAGGCTCCACCCCAGGCTTAATATTCATTGAAATTTCCCCTCAGGTGTTGTGTGTCTGGCTAAGTGTTCCGCGGAAGGAGGAAGCCTCCATGTCAGAAGCAGCCGTATACTGTTTACCTCTTCAGTGGTGCTAACCTTGGGTCCCAGGGTGCTGGCTCCAGCAGGCCTTCTGACCTTCAAGGGGCAGGGCATACTGGGAAGTGTAGTTTCCCAAACTGCCTTATCGCCAGGGTGTCCCATTTTATGCCTTTTGTTCTCAAGTAATTAGCAGCACCTTGTGTCACTCTGAGAAGGACCCTGGTTGGATGATTGTGCTGCGAATCACAGACTCAGCTTTTGTCTCAGTCTCCACCTAGTTTGTGGGGGCATACTGCTTGTCCTTGCCACTCTGACCTCCCGAGGAGCCATCCCTGGTGAGAGGTTCAGTTCTCCTCTGGGTTACGCAGTAGAGGTAAGAGAGCGTGACTTGGAAATCAACTTTTCTGATTTAGGAAAGCGGTGTCTTTCCTAAAGTCATAGAGGATTAACTTAATTTAGATCTCACTTGGTAGGTTTAAAAAGAACTTAAAGTGTTTTCATGGGTTTTAGTCTTTTACTTTATTAAACCAAATCTCTAAAGACTCAAATTATTCCCTTGATAAATTTTTATAATGGAAAAACAATTGTGTGCTGTTTGTTGTTGTTTAACGTTACGCTAAAAAGTGTTTACGAGGAGGGGCGCCTGGCTGGCTCAAGTAGAGCACACAGTTCTTGATCTCTGGAGTTGTGAGTTCAAGCCCCACATTGGGCATAGAGCTTACTTGGGAAAAAAAAAATCTTGGGCAGCCCTGGTGGCACAGCGGTTTAGCGCTGCCTGCATCCCGGGGTATGATCCTGGAGGTCTGGGATCGGGTTCTGCATCAGGCTTCCTCCATGGAGCCTGCTTGTTCCTCTGCCTGTGTCTCTGCCTCTCTCTCTCTCTCTCTCTGAATAAATAAATAAATCTTAAAAAAAAAAAAAATCTTGTCATAAGGCCTAATGGGGCTATGATGCTGTGAAGGGTTCCCGGATCTCTGTGGATAGCACTAACTGGGCTCTCTTGCTGGAAGTCCTCAAGAAGCACTGACCAAGCCTTTGTATGTAGCCCAAGTACTCTGTTGCCTTCTCCTCATCCCTACCACAAGCTGAGCAAACCAAAAATGATGGCCCAAACCACGCAAACATATTCACACAGTGGGTGTGTGACCAGCAGAATGATTCAGAGTGGGCATGTGGGAGGGAAGGAAGGGTGCTCGGTAACACCAGCCTGGTTGGTCCTGCCAGCTCTTCCTTGGTGGCACACGCCCTCGTCTTGGGAAGGTGAGTCACAGGTCTGACCTTGTGTCTGGGATCACCATGTGCACTGTGGCTTGGGAAAATGCAGCTTCCACATATGCACCACGACTATGCCGTCTTGAGAGGCTGGTTTGGCTCCAGGGGCAGAGTTACAGTCATGGCAGGTGGGAGAAGGGAGTTTCCTACAGCCAAACCGACCTCGGTCTTGCTGTCCTGTCCTGCGCTGCAGGATCTGCTTGCACAGGCAGCTGCTGAGCTGTGAGCAAGTTGGTTCCTGCTGAGCATGACATAAGGAATGTCCATGACACTTCAGAGGTGCCAAGTGCCCTCACACACCTCTAGGTGGGAATAATGGAAGAAGGCCACACCCAAAACTAGGAATACTTGCGAAAGCAAGTCTGAGTTACATCATAATTAGTAAACTGGGAGATACCCAGGAAAATCTCAAGGTCAGCTTTGAGGGTACGTGTCAGCTGCAAGAGATGGCTTTGTGTGCATCTTGGTAGATAGCAGGCGGCTCTGATGCCCCACTCGCTGCCTATGTCCTGAAGGGCACCTGGTCTCGATGCGGGGCCTGAAGGAGTGGTCTTCTACTCTGGGAAGAACCTGGCCAGAGGACCTTGCAACCATTTCCTTACTGTTTATTCTCATCACTCTTCCTGGTCAGAGCCCAGCTCACCCCACAAGGCTGCCTGGGGCCCCCTCTACTCCAGTTCCCTTCCTTCTCTGCCCCTCTGCCCTGGCTTCCTCCAAGGGTGGCCGCCTGAATCCCAAACAAGTCTTTTGCCTGAATGCGGGTCCTTCGGATGGAGCAGGCGCACAATGAAACGCATGCTTCTCTTCACGGTAGAAGGATGTGTTGTGATTCAGAGACCCCTCTGCAGGTGAGCTCAGGAAGGAGCAAGGCGCATGAAAAATGTATACTGCCAGAGGTCATCTGGACAGTGTGAAATGTCATTTAACCAAGTGATTCTCAACGGGAAGGGGAGTGGCTGTAGGAGTTCCAAGGGATGGCGCTGCTCTCCCTCTACTGGTGGCTATAGCATGGCTGCAAGTAGGAGTCATTTGATTCCTAGGTTAACAAATGATTGTAGTAGACAATAGGAAAGCTCAACAGTGCTGTGATGAGGAACTTGTCCCGAAGCACAGGAGCGAGAGTCCAGAGACAAATACCTAGGTACGAAGTGTGCCAGGTGCATCCACGAGCATCCACCATCTGCAGTGGGAGCGTTGCTCACAAAGCTGACAGAGCCACGCCCTGATTCCACCTTTGGAATCATCAGACACTGATTAAGCACCTGCTGTATGCCTGGCGCTGTGCGATGCTGGAGGTGGCTTGCCCTTCGTCCACTAGTTGTTACAGTCTGGAAAAGGGAAGCCAGCTCACTAATTTCAGTTTGCTGTGGCAAGGGCCAGCCAGGACCACTGTGCAATTTCAAGCAGGGGAGTGACATGATCACCTTTGTGTTTTAGGACCATAATGTTGGCAGTCAGATGGAAGCCAGATTGGAGAAGAGCCAGGAGATGAGTTCTGTCTGAATAACCCGGGTAAGCAATGATGGAGGGAGGCCTGGATCACGGAGGTGAGAGGATGCACATGAACACCATGGGGAGGTAGGAGCTACTGAAGACCTAGAGGTCAGAGCAGGACGATTAAAGACAGTCTTGATACTTCTGACCTGCGGAGGATAAGCAGCAGTGATGTCGTTCACCAGGACAGAGAGTGATGGGCAGAAGAGTGGTTTCCCAGGAAGCTGACTCTGGGGTGCCTTGGAGCTGCCTGAAGATACTGAGTGAGAGACCTGGGACTGATGGCTCAGAGACTGCCAGGCAGCAGGGGGGGAACCTTGGATGGGGAGGAGGCCTTTCCATATGAAGGTGCATGCAGGAGAGCGCAAGGCCAAGAGGAGAGGCTTGGGATCCACCCTGGAGGGCAGCCTGAGGGAGGCTACCAGGTGGGCCAGAGGGCAACCCAAGAGGCTCTCCAGGGGGGAGGGACAGTATCAGACACAACGGAGCGGGCCAGCAGCATGAGAGCCAAGGAAAGGCTCTGTTTTTGTATGAATTTGGTGCCTTTCATCTGAGCAGTGTCTGCGGTGGGGGCAGAGGGCAGCAGAAGCTCACCCGAGGCGGGTTGCAGAATATATTGGAGGTGAAAAGGGAGAGAGGTGGTGTGCACCGCTCTCCAGGGGCTCTGAAGAGGGGCCCATGAGGACCACATGGGAATGAGGGGTCTGAGGAGGCTGCTGGCAAAGCCGTCAACCACGTGGCAGAGGAGGTGGCCGCTATAGTGGGTCCCAAGAGATTGGGGGGATGAGCTTGACCTTGGCCAGCAATGGGGACCCTTGTCTTCTAGGTCCAAAGGGAAGGAGGAAGGGATGGGGCAGACGAGTATGTTTCTGGGCAGCACCCGATTGTTCGTTAAATCTGAGTAGAGGGGGGGATCCCTGGGTGGCGCAGCGGTTTAGCACCTGCCTTTGGCCCAGGGCACGATCCTGGAGACCCGGGATAGAATCCCATGTCGGGCTCCTGGTGCATGGAGCCTGCTTCTCCCTCTGCCTATGTCTCTGCCTCTCTCTCTCTCTCTCTCTCTCTCTCTCTCTCTCTCTCTGTGACTATCATAAGTAAATAAAAATTAAAAAAAAAAACATTTAAAAAAAAGGAGCAGCCACGGAGAAGGGAAAATGAGCTGATGCAGATGGACCTGAGTTTGCGGTGGTGCTGCAAGCAGGTCTTTTTCACCTGGCAGCGCAAATCTAGAAGGGGAGAGCTTCCACGGTTGGGAGGATGAGGTGTGCTGGAGTCCTTGGACTTGCAGCCTTGAGAGGCTAAGCTGTTGAGTGAGGGTCAGGGACCCTCCTCCCAGTGGCCAGCCTGACCTTGGAGACCTGGAAGGGGGAGCCTGGGCCAGATCTGCAGTGCCCTGGGCATGCGCAGCAATGAACACATTGCCTTTCTGAGGAGGAGGCTGAGTGCTACTGAGAAGCATGAAGAGTCCTGGCCTCTCCCAGCTGGGGCAGGGCCGCCCTTGTTTGCAGACTTGATTTTTGTCAGAGCGCCTCTTTTATGAGCCTATCAAGGACAGTAAATAGACGATTAAATCAAGAACAGAAGTACTGGGGTGCCTGGGTGGCTCAGTCGGTTGGGCATTTGCCTTCAGCTCAGGTCATGATCTCAGAGTCCTGGGATCAAGTTCCACATGGGGCTCCCTGCTCAGCAGGCAGTCTGGTTCTCCCTCCTCCACCCCCTCCTCCACCAGAGTGTGTGCACATACACTTTAACCCTCCTTCAAATAAATAAGTAATCTTAAAAAAAAAAAAAAAAAAAAAAGAACCAGGTCCGTCCAAGTGGCTCAGTGGTTTAGCACCACCTTCAGCCCAGGGTGTGATCCTGGAGACCCAGAATCGAGTCCCACGTCAGGCTCCCAGCATGGAGCCTGCTTCTCCCTCTGCCTGTGTCTCTGCCTCTTTCTCTCTGTGTCTCTCATGAATAAATAAATAAAATCTTTAAAAATATGGGCAGCCCGGGGGGCTCAGCGGTTTAGCTCGGGCTTCAGCCCAGGGCGTGATCCTGGAGCTCCGGGATCGAGTCCCACGTCAGGCTCCCTACATGGAGCCTCCTTCTCCCTCTGCCTGTGCCTCAGCCTCTCTCTGTGTGTGTCTTTCATGAATGAATAGGTAAAATCTTAAAAAAAAAAAAACTTTAAAAATAAATAAATAGGGATCCCTGGGTGGCGCAGCGTTTAGCGCCTGCCTTTGGCCCAGGGTGTGATCCTGGAGACCCGGGATCGAATCCCACGTCGGGCTCCCGGTGCATGGAGCCTGCTTCTCCCTCTGCCTGTGTCTCTGCTTCTCTCTCTATCTGTGTGACTATCATAAATAAAAATAAAAAAAAATTTAAAAATAAATAAATAAATAAATAAATAAATAATAAAAAGAATCAGTACTAATGAAAGGCACAATCAATTATTTCTTTCAGCCTCATAGTCACTGATTTGAGCTGATATCATTTGCTTACCTACCTTTCATTCATCTGTTCCAGAAACGGTTATCAAGTACCAACCATTGCCAGACACTGTTGTTAGCCTGCAAAACCTACTTGGGCTTCCCTTGCAATGGGGGCTGATGAGTGCTATGAAGGACAATGAGGAGGTAGGCAGGTAGATGTGGACATGAGACTAGATGGGCTATTTAAAGAAGACCTCTCTGAGGACAGGACATGTGAGCAGAGGCCTGAAAACAGTGAGGAAATCTGTCATGTAAGTATCTGGGGAAGAACATTCCAGAGAAAGTGTGAAGTGCAAAGGCACTGAGGCCGGAGTACACTTGGTATATTCAGGAGCAGCAAGGCCAGTGTCTCAAGTGGAGTGAGCCAAGGGAAAAGTGGTAGGAATGGGATCAGTGAGCAGGGGAGGTGTAAGCAGGAAATACGGAGCCTTTAGAGCAGTAAAGGCTTGGCTTCTATCTGCACAAAATGCCAGGCATTGCAGGGTTTTGAGCAAAGGAGTGGTTTGAACTGACTTAAGGTGTAAAGGATCCTCCCTCCCCTAACCCTTGGGCTGCTGAGAAAGGAGAGAAGGAGGACAGAGAGAACCATGGAGCTCTGGCTCTGTCTAGGCAAGAGGTGACAGGAGCCCTGGCAGCCGAGGTGGTAAGTGGCCTAATTTGGGACAGATTACCTTCCCACACAAGCATGATCTTTAGTGTGGTTGATCCCAAGCAAATGTTTATTTTATTTCATTTCATTTATTTTCTTTAGTAGCTCTACATCCAACATGGGGCTCAAACCACAACCCCAAGATCAGGAGTCTCACACTCTTCCAACTGAGATGGCCAGGCATCCCAGAGCAAATGTTTAAAGCAAGGTTGATGTTTCGACCTTTGAATTCTCATCTGAGCTCTGTACGCATGGCCCACCCATAACAGAGCGCTCAGGGAGCGCTTGCACCCTCGAAGGTCAGGACCTAGTGTGGTCAGGGGTGGGGATTGGCTGTAGCATCTGGGCAGTCACATGGAGAGATCTCTTTCTGGCAGTGATAAAATGGGTAAGGGACATTTGGTGACTTGGTGAGCCAGGCTTCCTCCCAAGGCCCCGGGCTGCCCCTGGCTGCCCCACCTGGCTGCCCCTGCCTTCAGAGCCCCTGCTCGGGTCTCATCCGTCCTCTTTGTCCCCACCACTTGGCTGGGCTGACCTGCAGGCTTGCTTGCTTTCTTTAGTATGTGTGCTTCCTACCCTCACTCAGGGACACCACCAACTCTGTGCTTTCTTTGAAAGGGTATATATGGGGCAGCCTGGGTGGCTCGGCAGTTTAGCACTGCCTTCAGCCCAGGGTGTGATCCTGGAGTCCCAAGATCAAGTACCCCGTCAGGCTCCCTGCATGGAGCCTGCTTCTCTCTCTGCCTGTGTCTGTGCCTCTCTCTCTCTGTGTGTCTCATGAATAAATAAATAAAATCTTAAAAAAAAAGGGGGGGGGTATATATGTGAGGAATCGGATTTTGAGAGAGGTTGGGGTAGGGGGAGAGGAAGAGAGAAAGGAGGTATTTTTAAAATTTTGGCATGGAAAGACAAACACTTTAGTCATCTTCCAGGCTCAACCAAATCCAATTCTGAAGTGCTTAAGAACAAAGCTTTGCAATCAGCTGTATTCAAGGCAGCACAGGGGCCACTGTCACAAAGCACTGGGCTGAGTCCTGCAACTCCTTTCTGGGCGGGACCTGCCACTCTGGCCCCTCTGTCATGGCTGGGCTCTGAGCAGCACCCAGAGGCAGCTTCCCCAAAGGAAGGGTCAGTCTCATCATTCCCTTCTACCCTATGGAATCCTGTTTGGTCGCTTCTTTGGAAAGATTCCATGAAGGGGTTCCAACCATAACCACAGGAAGAAGGGGGACTGCCCCTGCCCTGGGACCCAGAGAGGGAGCAGAGGCAGATAATCCAGCCTGGCAGCTTGCTCAGGCTGGGGCTGGGGCTCTGGGCTGGGCCAGGAGAGTGAGTAGATCTGGGAAACTTTCCTGGAGGGCGAGCGGGTGGAGCTGCAGGAGGAGCCTTTGGAGAAAGGGCTGAGTGTTCTGGCGGCCTCCTCCCAGGCTAGGACCCACTCCATGCACACCCTCCCACCAAGGCAGGGAGCACCTCCTCCGAGCTTTGGCACCAGTTCCCTGGGCAAACTCAGAGCTCAAAAGAGGGGATTTGGTTCACAGAGGCCACAATACTCAAAAGCAGCAGAGAAAGGCCTGCGAGTGTCCTGGACCCAGGCCGACTCCCTCTTTGGGCCAGTTGCTGCGAGCTCGGAGGGAAGACAGGCCCAGCAAAAGTCCAGATCATTTGGATACCTGAAATCCTGAGGCTGACCACCCCAGAGCTCTGGGGTTTAGGAGGCGGGAGACTACAAAATCCAGGAGACACAGACTGGCTCCTTTGATCTCCCAGGGACATGTCCCTGCGGATCCCCAAGTGCCAAACTCCCCCTTGGATGTCTTCCCAGGGTCCGTGGAGGAGACACAGGCAAGGGAGGTGGGGTTTTGTCAAGGCAGACTGATGGAAGCTCACTGGCAGTAGCCCAGTGCCTCTGTAATCCTGGCAGGCTGGGGGGCCCTTGTGGGACCGGGGGTAGTGGGCAGAGGGAGGCCAGAGACTGTTGAGTCTCTCTTTCTTTGACAGCTAACATTTCCCAGAGCTAGCGCCCACAGGAGAAAGGAAATCAGAGCTTCCCACCTCACACATCTTTTTCCCATTTTGTTCGTGCTGTCCAGGGAAAGCCATTAGGGCTAGGTCAGTCTGGGGCCTCCCCCACCGCCCATCTCTCCAGCCGGCTACAAGGAGGGGCAGGGATGGGGGGGTCATTGGGAGGACAAGGCCCTAGCCTGCTAAGGGGCCAGACTGAACTCTTGCACGCCCTCTTCATTCCCTGCCCCCTCAGGATGGGAGTTGGGGGTGGGGGCCCGGCATCTGGTTGCTGGGGCCCTCCCTCACTTTGCCCCTGCACCTCTGCTTCTGTCTCCAGGGAGTCTGGCCTGCTGGCCCTAAGAAAGTCTGGCTTGCTTGGCCTGAGTCTGCAGGAAGAAGCCCCTTGGGTTGGGGGCTCTGACCTCCTCCCTGGAGCCAGGCAGGGGGTGGCACATGGCTGGGTACTCCGGTCTGGAAGTGTGATGCACTGGGAGCATCAAGGAGCCTAGAAGGGGAGTCCTCCCCAAGCTGACTGACCTCCTCCCTGAGGCCAAGCCATCAGCCTGTCATCCTGCCCCTGCTCCCGGGGACAGTGAGTCCACTGCCCTCTTTCGAGCCCTACCCAGTACCGCGCACACACACCCCCTGCTCTGTCTTGTCTCTGGGACCTTGCCTGGCTCCCTCCCTCTCACTCCTTCTTCAATCCTGGAGTTGGCTTCTCTGGCCCATGGTCACTCTCTGCAGTTCAGGTCAGAGAAGGAGCATATCCCCCAGCCAGTCTGCAGCCCTGCTGATTTCTTTCTTCTGCCAGAAAGTACAAGTCATCTCAATGGGGAGAGGGATTCCCTGGAACCCCAGAGCTCCTTCAATTTCCCACCCTCAGAGAGCAGGAGAGGAGGCATCTGGGAGATGGCCTGAGCTCCCCAGAACAAGTCTGGGGTCAGGCTGCAAGCTGCTCATCTTTTCCAGGCCAGGCCACTGTCCCCAGGTACCTGGCAAACCCAGGTGTTCAGCCCACCAAACTTGTCATGGCCCTGGCCTTCCCCGCCCTGCCCTGGGCTGCCAGGGGTTAAGGGACTGGTACAGGGCAAGGGGTGGGAGTGGCAGAGGGGTCTAGCCCTAGTCTCTGACTCATAAAAGCCAAGAGGAGTTTAACTGCAGGTCACAGGGCTGCCTGACTTCTCCATCCAGCAGTGCAGCCAGGAGGGGGGGTGGTCATTCAGGAGGGGAAGTGGGGGCCACAGCTGGCCAGGCTCAGGCCCAGGCCCATCCAGCTTCAGATGCTGGCAGCTACCATCAACAGTGCCGGCGATATTGGTTCCCCACCTCACCCTTGGAGGTTCCCTCAAAAGCAGGAAGACTCCAGAGTAAGGGGAGTGGGATGTTGGTGCCTGTCAGTGCAGCAGGCTAGAAACATGGGCAGTGGCCTGGATGGGGAAAGAGGTGATGCCCTCTGCCAGACCAGCAGGAAGCACTAGTCTGGGTGCTGCCACAAAAGCACAGTGACCGAGAAGCAAGCACCTCAAGGTCAGAGAGCAAGAAGAGTGTGACGGCTGCCCTCACCTCCGCGCTGCCCCCTGAAGAGGCCAGCAGAGCCAGGGGCCTCTCTCAGGGGACAGGACTTGGTCTGGACACGTCCTCAGCCAGTGCATCCTCACCTCCTCCCGCTCGCCTGCCCGGCTCAGCGTGCCCAGCCCAGCCCTGAGAACAGCGTTGGCAGCTGGGAACCAGGTAGCAGAGCCAAAAACAACAGAGGAGCTGCTTGGCTGCCTGGGTGCCGCTCAGACCCTCGCCTGCTCTGTGATTTCCCCTGGAGAGGGCAGCCCTCCTCCCACCTGAGGCTCTGACCCTGCTCAGTTCAGCAGGGCTGGGGGCTGGCCCTGGAGGTCATCCAGGCCCTCCTTTCCAGGCCAGCCCCCAGCCCTTTCTTTACATCACTATGGCTTCTCTGCCGGCACCTTCCCTGGCTTGAAAGGACAGGAGTTGCCTGCTTTCCAGATGTCTGACCCGGTCTACCAGTTGGCTGGAAGCCCTGTTCCCTGCTGTAACAGCAATCTGTGGGGAGAATCTGAGCCAGGCCTTACCAGATCTGAAAAGGGCTAGATCCCTGAACCCAGGCAAATAGACAAAACCGGAACATTCCCCTCTGTACTGAGGGTCAGACCAGGAGGCAGGATGCTTGAGTTCACGCTGCACCACACTGAATGCTGAGGGCTTGGGGGCCAGGGGACACCACTGTCTGGGCCCAGCCACTCCTAGCTCCTTTATTCTACACTCGCCCCCCCACCCCAAAAGTTCTGCCCACACTGCTGCCCCTCCGCTGAGTGGCAGAGACCCCGTGTCCAGCCTCGCCTGGGTTTAATTTGTACAAGACTCCCAGCCAACACACTCTGTGATGCAGCGGATACAATAACACTGTTGGGGTGAGGCTCTTCTCCAAGTGCTGACCTTGGCCAGAGAATCTTCTTGGTCCCAGGTTGGGGAGCGGGGAGGGGTTCGCAATTCTCCCACCCTTTCCTTTTTTTTTTTTTTAAGATTTTATTTATTTATTCATGAGACACACACACACACACAGAGACAGACAGACACAGGCAGAGGGAGAAGCAGGCTCCATGCAGGAAGCCTGACATGGGACTCGATCCTGGGTCTCCAGGATCATACCCTGGGCTGAAGGTGCACTAAACCACTGAGCTACTGGGACTGCCTGTCTCCCACCTTTTCCATCCCCAGCTGGGCTGGTGGTCCCTCCTGCCCCATCCTCAAGAGAGAGTGGAGAGGGCTAGAGACAGCTTCTCCTCCCAAGCCCCTGACTCCTCCGTCACGCACACATCTATACCCACTCATGCTCAGGCTTCTCCACCCAGCCAGAAGTGTGCCCACCCCCGTTCCTTCCACAGCAAAACCAGCCACCTTCCTCTTAGCCACAAGGGCATGGGAACAAAGCCCCAGAATGTTCCTTGCTGAGCTCTCAGGCCTGTTTCCTCCCCATCCCACTCCACCCCCATTCTGCTGATACTCCCCCAGCTTTTCTTACCAACTTTACACTGCTCCCCAGTATCCAAATTCCTGGGGGAGCCCCCAGTAGGGGTCTGACCAACATTCCTAGAAAGGGAGAATGGGTGCCCCCCCCCCCCCCCCCCCCCCCCCGCAGATCTGCAACAGGTTTGGTCCTAATGAAAAGGCCAGCGACACTCAGGAAATTAAAGCCAGTTGTTTGTGACTGAGTGACAGACAGGGGCTAAGCCCCTCCCTGCCGCCTGGCTCTGGGCCTGGTCCCTGCCCCTAGGCTCCCCCACCTCCTCAGTTAGCCCCCTCTCCCATCCCCCAACCCTCTGTTCCACCCATAGTATCCCCCAGCCCTCTGCATGTTCCCTAAGCTGCCCCCACTTGCCGACCAGATGCTCCTGTGGGCTGAGACCCCAGCCCAGCTTCCTGGCACTCTGCTCCAGACCCTTTCCCCACCTCCCCCAGCCAGGGTTGGGGTGCAGAGGCTGGAGCTCAGGCCCAGAGCTGCCAAACCACAAACACTCACATCTGGAAAAAATTCCCCTCCCAGTCTGACTTCCCTTTGTCTTACTTGTGCCTTTCTGGAACTTTTGGCTGCCAGGCCAGTGGGGGGGAGTGAGGAAGTGAGGGGGGGGAGTGGGCGCAGGCCTCCCTGCCCCCACCCCAGGGAGCCCCCCTTCTAGCCGCCCCAGGATCCTGAGCCAGACCACATCCCCCCCTCTGCTCCCGTAGGGCTGGCCTCCTGATGAGTTCTCTTGGTGAGGTTCTGACATCCTGAGTTGCCAGGGTCATGGGGGACAGGGCCTGCACCGGCCTTCTCTTCTACAGCAGGAAAGATGCCTCCTGAGCCTGGTACTGGACTCTTCCAGCTAGGGGCTCAAGAGGGCTGGAGTGGAGAGGAGGTCGAGAGAGTGACTAGAATGGAAAGGGGGGCAGGGGGGGTGTCAGGTGTCGGGTTCCTGCCAGCTTCCCTCCCCCAAGCCTCTCCTCATCCCTTTGGCTGGGAGCCTGATTCACAGTCAGAATCTAATTCCCCTCTCTTTACCTACAGCAGCAAGAGCCAGCTGGTGGGGGGAGGATGCAGGCGGCTGGCTGCAAGGCTGGATCTGAAGCACTGCCCCCCAGGGGCTGCCCCTTCCCTCTACCACCTCTGCTTCTGTCTGTCCTTCCTCAAAGTGCTCCCCGACCCCTTGCTTCCAGAAGCCCAGGCCTCCCCCACCGGCTAAGCCCTCCCACACAAACCCTGGACCCTAAAGCCAGGCTGAAGGGTCTCTTCTTCAAACCTGACCCTTGATCGCTCCCCCTGCGGGGCCCATGAAGTCCCTTCTATCATAGAACCCCCACACCTCCTGCTCCAAGGCACCCTTGCTGCTTTACTGTTTCTACACATCCATTATTCAGAGATTTCCCTCCTTGAAGCACAGTGGCTCCAGCCCTCTCCGGTCTTTGGAGAAGCCTCCAGCCCCTCGGCTTTGGCTCTGTTTCCTCCGACTCCTCCCCAGCCAAGGCCCCCAACTCTCAGTTCGGTCCAGGCCTCTAATGGAAAGGGTTCAGGATCTCAGCAAGCCTGTCCTCTGCTCCACCCACCGCCATGCTGGCAGGGAGGGGCCGGCGCAGGGACCAGATGTGGGGTGTTTCCTGCTTGCCTCCCCTCGCAAGGAGCTGGGAGCACAGTCCCAGAAGGGTGGCGGCGGGGGGTGCAGCACCGGCAGCGGGGCCACGTGCGCGCCTTCGCCGAGGGCAGCTGGGCCGCAGCATCCCCTGCAGCCTCCCCGAGCGCTGCTGGCCCCTCCGCCTCCACCCATCTGCACTCTGCGGCTTCGGACCTCCCGGCCGCTCTCTGGGGCTCCCCGCTCGCTTCCGTCAGTTTCTGGCAACCAGCCCTCCCAAAACGGGGCTCGGGGTGGGGAGCTGGGCCCTGCCCCCTCCTTTGAGCTCCTGAGCAGCCGCAGGCGGGAGGTGACACCTGAGACCGCGCTCCACCCCTCCCCGGAGCACCCGGTCTCCCTCCAACTGGGGTGGCCACGCGGCGCGCGGGGGCTCCAAGCCTCCATCCCCACCCCCGCCGCCTGCTGCGATCCTCTGGGGGTTGGGGAACCCAGAGACGGAGAAAGAGCCTTAATTAAGAGCTCGTGTCAAGTGATTGGCTGTGACCTCTGCCCTCCCCAGCCTCGAGCCCGGGGCTCCTGCTTAACCCTTCGATGCCCGTCCAACTCAATAAGAGGAAGGAGTCTCCTGAGCCAGTCTCCAGAGTCCCCGACCCTGCCGCAGCCCTGAGCCCCTTGGAGGCCCGCGGAGCTGGCGCGGCACCCCCTCCCACCCCCAGGCCGTTCCAGCAGGGGGCGCCATTAGCCTATTCGAGTGTCTGGCGCAACCGCCCCTGGCCTCGCCCGCGGCTCTCTCAGCTCCCTGCGGTCACCCTAGACCCAGGTCAGGCCTCGGTGGAGCCCAGCGCCGCTCGGCTCGGAGTGGGGATCGCCCGCCGGTGGTGTCACTAGGTGTCTGGCGCCAAGGAGTCGATTGCCCCGAGTCAGGAGTCAGGTCCGGGAGGCCCGGGGACCTGGTGAGCCGTGACCCTGGCGACGAGAGACCCGTGGATCTGCACCCCGACCCGGCGCCCCTTCCTCTTGGTGGAGAGCCCAATCCGAGCGCTCGCCCCGAGCCAGCTGCCTTGGCCCCTGGCCAGCGCCCGGACCCGCCGAGGGCGACCAGATCCGGAGCCCGGGCTCAGGGCCCCCCAGGTGGGGTGGGGGGCGGGGCGGGGGGCGGGGCCACCTCTCTCTCTCCCTCTCTCCCTCTTTCCCTCCCTCTCTCCCTCTCTCCGGCAGGGGCGGGCCGTACAGGGTATAAAAGCTGCCGGCGCGGAGCCCAAGCCAGCTCTGGGGTTGCCCTGGGTGGGACGTGTCCTGTCCTGAGTCTCACCACCAAGCAAAGGCCACCGCAACAGCCCTTTTGACTAGAAGACTCAGCCTCCGGTGATCCAACCAAAGCATCTAAGGGGACGCCACCCGCACCTCTACCATGCCCAACTTCTCTGGCAACTGGAAGATTATCCGATCGGAAAACTTTGAGGATTTGCTCAAAGTGCTGGGTAAGGAGATGGTGGAGCTTGCAGGAGCGGAGGTGGGTGTGAGAAAGAAAGGACAGTGGGGGTCAAGGCACGGGAGGTTGGGTATCTGCATCCCCAACAAAAGGGGCCATTCTCCTGGGTCAGGGGGGCCTTAGGGCCAGGAGGTTTAGATCCTTTCTCTGCCGGGGCGCCCCAGAGGCCAGCTCCTGTAGTGACCAGCCTGTGAATCAAATGGAAACCAGAACACGAGGTCAGTATTCCTCCGGGGTGGGGCCAGGGAGCTCTCCACAGGTCAGAGGCTGCAAACTCTGCACCCAGGCTGGGAGCTTGGGTCCCTACTCAGCCGAGCCCCTCGGACCTGGTCCAGCCCCTCTGCCCCCACTCTGCTGCCAGTAGCCCAGTCCCCGGGGCAGGTTCCTTCTCCTTCTGTGCCGGGCTCCACCTGCCAGGTGACTGGCCACCCCAGCTCCCACGGTTGCCCCTTCCCTCTCCCTTCAGCACTTTCCACTCTGTGCCCCCACCCTCCATCTGTGACACAAATATTTTCCTACAGCGGGCAGTTCCAGCATCCTAAATCACTCTGGATAATTATCACTTTCTTAGATTTCAACAAATGGCTTCGTGTGAAACCCCAACCCCCCATTTCCGAAAATGCCAGTTCTCTTCTCCCTCCCTCCCTGAAGCTGCAGCCCTGCTGGGTGTATTGGTTAAAAGTGGGGGAAGCTAAGTCTACTCTGCCTTTCCCAACTCCTGTGTGCCCGCTGGTGTGTGGGGAGAGGCTCTGGGAAGAGAGGGAGGTTGCTTAAGGACCTCAGCAATTGGGAAGCCCCCCAGGAGCTGAGCAGCCAGAGGGTAAGCATGCCCTGGATCTCTGGGCTGAACACGGTGACCCCCTCCTTAGGTAGGGGGAGGTGGAGGTCACAGCCCATGCAAGGCAGGGTGTAGGAGTGAGTCCAGACCTGGGAAGGGTCTGGAATGCTGTGTTTCCATCATTCCTTGCCATTAGTTCTTGCGTCTAAACCACCATACGTCTTCAAACCCTGTCTGTCTTTCCCGCTCTGCCTTTGCTGCAATTAAAAAACAAAACAAAACAAAACAAAACAAAACAAAAAACCCAAAAAACCAAACATGTTCCTTTCCCCATCCCTGGATTCTGGCCCCTCTCCAGTGGATGAAGCAGGAGGTGGCTGGGCACACCCGAAGGCCCAGCTGCAGAATAAGAGCCAAAGCCTGGCCCTGTTGTCTGTCTGTCTTTGGCCTGTTTGTCCTCCCTGCGGGGTCTCTCAGAGCCACGTGCCCTCCTCAGGCCCTGCTGGGGCAGATTGAAAACAGATCCATTAGACAAACAGCCCTGGCTGGAGTGGCCTCTCCGCTGAGCCTGAGCCCCTCCAGTCCAGGCTGGCCCCTGCAGGAAGCTTGGCCCCTCCTTGCCCCCTCTGCCCTTGGTCAAGTATCCCTTTTCTAAAGAGGAATGCTCAGGTGTTGGGTGATAACTGTCTCACCCACTGTGCTAGGCAGAGTGTGTGAGCAGGTTCTGCTCCTGTAGCAGGAAGGGTGAATGTTAGATGGTGAGGTGACTTCCAGGTGAGGATGGGATGAGATGTGTCTCCTCTGCCAAGGCCACTGGATCTGGGAATCCTGGTCACTTCTCCCTGGACCCATGAGATCAACAGTCAAGAAGGGGGCTCCCGGGGCTCCAGGGGGAGACCTCTGCTCTCCCACTCTCTTCTTTCTGGAACAAAGTGGGTCTGCTTTAGTGCTAAGGGAAAAGAGGATTTGTTTCTCTAGGAACCCAGGTCTGGAGAGGGCCAGGAAGCCCAGGTTGCCTGATCTACCCCTGCTTGGCCCTCTTGTCCCCACCCATTGCCTCTCTGAAGCTCTCTGCTGGTTCAGTGTGGGGGCACAGGCAGGTGAAGTGGGGTGGTGATGCTCAGACCTGGCCCTGGCCAGCAAGGCCTACCTGGTGGCTTGTTGTCTCACTCTCCTGGCTTCCCCACCCTTCTTAATGACAGGGGAGCCAAAGAGAAGGGGTCCAGTTTGGGGATGGACACGGTGGATAGGCTCGGGAGACTCTGAATCCACAGAGAAGGCCTGACCGCCCCCAGGTCAGGGTGATCCTAGAGTAGGGAACATATAGGGGTGGGGGGAGGGCAGGGTCCCCATCTGTCCCTTGAGGGGAGATGAGCACAGGATCCCACCTGGAGGCTGGGCCAGCAAGGGTCTGATGCAGGCAACTTGGTCTGAGCCTCAGCGCTGGCTTTTTCTTCGGTTTCCTTTTCTCAGTAAAAAATAAGGACAGCAATAAGGACAGGTGTGCCAAAAAAAAAAAAAAAAAAGGACAGGTGTGCCTAGCGCTGTGTGTGCTGGGTCCCACACATGCCTCCCATTTGCCCAGGGTCACCTGGCCTAAAAGGGAGACTCATCCAGGTGGACATTGGGGTCCAGTGGATCTACTGTGGAGCCTCTGGCTTCCTTGGGCTAGACTGCTCTATAAAGGGGGAAAGCTGCCCCAGCTCGTCACTGCTGAGGGTCTCTGCTCCCCACTGCGGAGAGGGACAGGGATTGGGCAAAGGAATACTGGCCTAGCACTAGGAAGGGGAAGTGCCCAAGGCAGAGAGGAAGTGGCCTCTACTTCCAGGACAGGAGTGGTAACTCCTGGCTGGGGAGGGTCTGGCCTATACTTGGGCAGGGGTGAATCATCACGGAGGGTCGCAAGCAAGGTGGACAGAGGGCCCCAAGGGAGGTGAACAGGGCCAACGTGAGGATGCCTGCTGGGTGAGGGGAATAGGGAGAGTCTGCAACTAAGAATGCCGAGAGTGAAGAGCTAGACCTCGGGGTCTAGCCTGCAGGGTGCTGCCGCCCTGCCCTGGACTGAACCGTGGGGATGAGTGAGGCATGGGCCCGGGGCATCCCTGAAAGCCAGCCTCCCTCCTCTCTGTGCAGGGGTGAATGTGATGCTGAGGAAAATCGCTGTGGCCGCGGCTTCCAAGCCAGCAGTGGAGATCAAACAAGAGGGAGACACATTCTACATCAAGACCTCCACCACAGTGCGGACCACGGAGGTCAACTTCAAGGTCGGGGAAGAGTTTGAGGAGCAGACTGTGGACGGCAGACCCTGTAAGGTGAGTGCTGGGACGTTGTGGTGTCCATTACCCAGCCTCCCAATCTCCCAAAGGCCATTTTCCAGTCTTCTCCAGGATTCGTGGCTCCGCTCCCAGGGGATGAAGTCCCTCTGGCTGCATCGTCCTCGCTGCGAGCCCCACTCACTTGGCCTCTCTCTTGTAGAGCCTGGTGAAGTGGGAGAGCGAAAACAAAATGGTCTGCGAGCAGAGGCTTTTGAAGGGAGACGGCCCCAAGACCTCCTGGACCAGGGAGCTGACCAACGACGGGGAGCTGGTCCTGGTAAGACCTGCCTCCTGCCAGCCCACCGCCAGCCCAGCACCAGCCTCGGTGGGGGGCGGTTCTGAGACACTCTAGGGCATAGGAGGTGCAAGACCAGCTGTACTGGGCACCCCCCAGCTCCTGGGGGGGGGTGGGGGGCTGCTGGGGCAGGACTGTCCCTGTCCCTCACGGTGCTACTCTGTGACTGTGATGTGGTCCTCTGTGTGGAAAAAAGCATGCGCCCCGAGAGGCCCAGCAGTTCCCTGGGTGACCCTCCCGGCTCGGGGAGGAGGCTGGAGCACAAACCCTCGGGGCTCCATTGCCATCCTCCCTCCCAGGACACCAGGGCATCTGGGGACCAGCTCCCACCTGTTGGTCCTGATTCTAGAAGTAGGTTTGGTCTCCCAAGCCACAGGAGCATGGGCCTTCCAGGTTCACAATGACTTCTGGCTTCTATCCCTCTAGACCATGACAGCTGATGATATCGTGTGCACCAGGGTCTACGTCCGAGAGTGAGCAGCTGGCTGTGGGTCCAGGAGCTGCCAGAGCCAGCCCCCAGCACCACCAGCCGCCCCCCTCAACTTGCCCTGCCTCACTGCCGCCCCCCCCCGCCCCCCCCCAGGGCTGCCCCTCCCCCTTTCCTCCTAGGCTAGCTCTCCCCTCCCCCTGCTCACTTCTGGGGATGCTGGGATGCCTCCAGCAGGATTCTGCTTTTTAGGGCCCCTACTCACACCCTCCCCCAACAAAGAGGGATGGATGGCAAGAGCCCACATCACCCGTTCCAGAATCACTCCCCCTCCCTAGCCAGCAGTCCCGAACCTGCCCAAAGCACAGCCTCTCTTTCTGCAGTGACCTGAGGGCCCCAGTGGGAAAGATGATCCTCTGGCTTCCACCCCTTGTCCCTGTAGCCTACACAGTGTAGAATATTTATTGGTTAATTTTATTAAAATGTTTTAAAAAAATACAACCTGTCTCTGGTTCATTGGGAAGGGGACAGATAAAGTCACGAGTGCCACTTTGCTTCTGAAGTGTGGTGTGAGAAGCAAGTGTGTCAGCAGCAGGGGGAGTGGGGCCACAATGAGGGGGGCCTTCCCTCTCCCCCCCCCCTCCTCCTGCAGCCTCCTGCACTGCCCTGGCTTCCAGGCTTGCCCTGGACCTCTCAGCAGGGACACTGGGTACTAAGGAGCTGACTCCCACCTTCTCCCACACTCTCCTCTGATTGTTCCTTCGATCCTCCACCTCCCATCTGTGGGAGACCCCAGGTCTGGCCTTGGCCTCCCACGCGGTTCCAGATGAGCTCACCAATGCTCACAGGCTGGCCTCGCTCCCACCCAGGTCTCCTGATGAGACCGTAATCCTGCCTGCCCTCTGGTTCTGAGCTATCAGCCTTGAGACCTACACAGCCCTCCTGCCAGCTCCCACCCACCTTCCCATGCCTCCTCATTTGGGTCAAGGCTCCACTGCACGGTGCCTTCCAAGTTCTATCACCATCTCCCCATCAAGTGCCTGCCCTCCTTCCGCAGGCCGAGGCCCTCGACTGGACCATCTCATGGCTCACCTAGTTTCACGCAGCAGTACCTTCTAGCTGGCCTGCCTGGCCTGCTTTTCCATCATCATGGCTTCATGGGGTGAAGTGAGCATAAGTGTTAGAAGAAGGGAAGTTCTGGGACGCCTGGGTGGCTCAGCGGTTGAGCACCTGCCTTTGGCCCAGGGTGTGATCCTGGGGTCCCAGGATCAAGTCTTGCATAGGGTTCCCTGCATGGAGCCTGCTTCTCTCTCTGCCTATGTCTCTGCCTCTCTCTCTGTTTCTCATGAATAAATAAATATCTTTTAAAAACAAAAAAAGAAGAGAGGTTCTGTCCTACTTCTACCACTTGCTCCATCCATGATCTCCGAGCCTTCGTTCTGTAACCTAAAGGCTTGTGCTGGGAAGCTTCAGTTGGGGGCCAGCCAAATCCAGGCAAAGTCGCCAAGTGCTTCTCCTGCCTCTATCCTGCTCATTCAACTCTGTCAAATAGAATGTTTCCCTACATCATGGAAAGCTGACTTCAGATGCTGCAAGCTTGGGACCTCTGAGTGGCTTAATGGTTGGGTGTCTGCCTTCAGCTCAGGGCATGATCCTGGAGTCCTGGGATTGAATCCCGCATGGAGGTCCCTGCATGGAGCCTGCCTCTCCCTCTGCCTGTGTCCCTGCCTCTCTCTCTCTCATGAATAAATAAATAAAGTTTAAAAAAAAAAAAAGGACATAGCACTTAGCAATAGTAAGCCCCCACAAAGTGAAGGTCCCACCTCTCTGACCCACCCCTCCAAAATGCGAGGACTGAGGTTGTCCTTCAAAACACAAACTGGGGCAGCCCGGGTGGCTCAGCGGTTTAGCGCCACCTTCAGCCCAGGGCCTGATCCTGGAGTCCCAGGTCGGGCTCCCTGCATGGAGCCTGCTTCTCCCTCTGCCTGTGTCTCTGCCTCTCTCTCTCTCTCTCTCTTTCAGGAATAAATAAATAAAATATTAAAAACAAAAAAAAACACCAAAAAGCATAAACTGTATTAGGTCAGTGCTCTGTTTAAGAAACAATAAAACAAAACAAACTCACCTTGGTCAGACCCCTCTTTTTGCCCAGAATACAGTGCAGACTGGTATCAGCAGCCATTCAAGACGTGGCCCCTACTCCTTCCTACACGTGCTCCTCCCCTGCTCGGCATGCCACCCACTCGCCCGTGGGTGCCCAGCTCTCCTCCAGAGCTTGGCTCCCCACCTAGCCCCAAGAGGCCTCTCCCACCAGCAGAGCTGACAGCCAGTGGTTACGCTTCACAGCCTGTATGTGGCAGGTGAGTCTCTTCTCCCTGCAAGACCAAGGTGCCCCAGGAGAGGCCACGTGCTGCCCCAGAGGACAGTGGGGCAGGGCCAAGGAGTGGGGAGATGGTGTCCAGAGTACTGGGGAGGCCAGTCGTGGGGTGGGGGAGCTGGGGGCCCTTTCATAGGTGCGGCCAACCATTATTTGCTGAGAGCCTCCTGGGAGCCTGACGCCCTGACTCAGGCTGGGAACTCAGAAATGCATCCTGTGGACAAGATCCCTGCCTTCTTGGGGCCTCCAGGAGGGCATAGACCTTTAGTGGGAAGGGACAATGAAACCACAAATGCAGACACTTGGGGGAAAAGGGGCAGAGGGAGGGGAGCACCAGAGGAGACCTGGTTTAGAGTGGGGGTGGGCGGCTGTGTTGGGAGAGCAGGTGTTTTGGAGAACAAAGAATTTAGGGGGGCCTGAGGGATTTAGTGGGGTGAATCAGAGGAGAAGGTACCCCAGGCAGAGAGAACAATGGGGTCTAGGCCTCCTCAAAAACAGTTTGGGGCTGCCCAGGGTCTGGGGCCTGGAGTGCAGGATAGTGGGGGCCTTCAGAGAGCCACAGTCAATATTCCTTATTTGCTTCCAAGAGTAATGACAAGCTAGTGAAGGATTTAAAGGGGGTGGCATCCCACCTGTGCTTTAGGAGTCCCCCCTGGCTATCCAGGTGAAGATGGATAGAGGAAAGCAGTGGGGGGTGGGGTGGGGAGGGAGGGCCAGGTGGCAGTCAGGGAGAGACTGACTGGAGCAGAGGGTGGAAAGAAAGTCAGGGACCACGGAGACCCAGTGATGCATGAGGCAGGAATGAGGGGTGAGAGAAAGGGGGGTGTCCAGGGTGGCCCTCTGGCTCCAGGCCTGGGGGGCTGGAGGGCTGTTTTCAGAAATGGAGAAATGAATCTGGGGTTTATGGATGCCAGTTTTATTTGTTTTAATCCAGAAGCACCCTAATTCCTCAGCCTGAGGCCTGGCTCCATCTACTTTTTGCATCACCTCCTCCCCTCCCACCCCATCCTTGACCTCAGCCCCCATGGATGCCCATCCAGGCTGTGGACTCCCCAGCCCACCCTTCCCACCTTAGCTTCACTCCCATGCCCACCCTGGAGTGACCTTTTCTCAGACTCTTCCTGCCTACTTCTCATGCCCTTGTGACTAGAGCATCTGCTCTTGTTTTTCTGACCAGTTTGTTTATGGAATCAAATTGTTGAGGAAAGAGAAGCCCTCCCAAGAAGTCCAGGAGGGGGGATCCCTGGGTGGCTCAGTGGTTTGGTGCCTGCCTTTGGCCCAGGGCATGATCCTGGAGTCCCGGGATTGAGTCCCACGTCGGGCTCCCTGCATGGAGCCTGCTTCTCCCTCTGCCTGTGTCTCTGCCTCTCTCTCTCTCTCTCTGTGTGTGTGTCTCTCATGAATAAATAAATAAAATCTTAAAAAAAAATAAGAAAGTCCAGGAGGGCAGGGACTGGGCTATCCCCATCAGACTGGGGGCTCCTGGAGGGTAAGGACTGGGTCTCCCCCATCAGACTGGAGGCTCCCAGTGGGTGGGGACTGGGCCTCTCCAGTCAGACTGGGGCTCCTTGAAGGCAAAGGCAGTGTGTCTCCCCTGAGCTTGGGACTCCCCGAGGGTGAGGCCCTTCCCCTGGCTCTGCTTCCCCTGTGCTCCCCCGCCCTCCAGACTGAGATGACAGGGAAGTTAAGTCCCAGACTCAGGAGATGGGATCAGGGAGGGGCCACCTCACCCATCTGGTCCAGCCTGGCCCAACCCGTGAGAAAGTCCCTCCAGCCTCCTCTCCCATCCCCAAGGCCCTCTTCCTCCTCTTCCGTTACCTGGGCCTTCATTACTCAGCAGTGCTTTTAGGAGAAAGTGCACAGGGGCCCCCAACACCCCCCTACTTGCATCCCCAAAATTCTGTGGGCAGAACCTTCTCTACAAGTCAGGCTTCTCAGAGTTCAACCACTGAGGGGGCAGTGGAGGGACCTGGGCCACCCAGCCTCCCTTGCTCCTGTGACCAGGGCAGGAGGGCCAGAGAAGGAAGGAGGGCAGGGGCCAGGGAGGGGGCATGTGTGACTCTCTCCGGGTTGGGTGGCTGCCACGCCACAGCAAGGGCACAGAGCCTGCACCAACATCTCAGGGAAACTGAGGTGCACACACTTGGTAAGGGACAGGAGCATGGGGCTGAGAAGGCCTAGCAACGTCAAAACCAAGAGATTCAGGGCATGGCCAGATCAATGAGGACAAAGTCTGAAGGGAGCCCAAGGCCCGGGTGCCACAGAGGCCCCCAGAACCCAATGGCAGCTCCGTGGCTGTGTGTGGCAAGAAGAGCCAAGCCTCCCGAACAGGGGAGCTAGGCAGAGTGGGACCAGACACAGAACCCTGAACCCCAGAGGGTGCCTAGGAGAGGGAGAGGCTGGGAGGAGCCCATTGGAGGAGACATAGGGGTCAGGGAGGAGGGGGAATCCGGTGGCGGGGAGGGGAGGCAGCGGGGAGGGGAGCCAACTGAGGGCCAGTGGTGGAGGGGGCCCTGGGGGAGTCTGGGGGAGGGGGTGCTGGTCAGGCCCTCTGACCCCTTCCTGACAAAGGGCCGCCTGAGGACTGCCACAGGAGCAAGATGGATGGGGCTGGGGCGGCCAGGTCCTTTGTGGCGGGGAGATGAAAGGGAACAGCCTTTGAGGAGATTCTCCAGCCCACCCCCTCCACCCCCGGCTTGCCCCCCCCCCACCTCTGGAGCCTCGAGTATTGTGGGGGAGAGGGGTGGGGGGAGTCGGAAACAGGGTGGGGAGGAGCTGCGTCCAACCAGGTATTTCCCCTGGCTGGGCCCCGCATACCTGAGAGATGGGGGGCAGGCCGCTGGATGGGGGGGGGCGCTGGGTCCATACAGAACTCGAATGGGCGAAGAAGCAGGGTCTGTGCCCGTGCCAGTGAGGCCCCGGAGGAGCTGGGGGAGACTGTGGATCCAGTGGGGACCAGGGGTGTCTGGGCCGGGCCCTCCCCCCACTACCACAGGCCTGCTGCCCTCCTGACCTCTCGGCTTCTTCCTGTCCCTGTCCCCCTTGGCGCTGCCAGTCGAGAAACCAGTTCTATGCCTGTCCTGGATAAGGATCTCTGGCTGGGCGCTTCCCAGGCAGTGGCAGG